ATATGCATTATACCCTCCTCAATTCGCCTCTTTTGTCTCTATTTCCCAATACTAAAGACAAATAATATCTCTCTTCTAAACACACCAGTATCTCACACAAGCTGTCCCGTTTTCCCCCAAATCAACACTGATAACCCCTTACCTAGGATTGTCAATTTATAGAAATCCTCGTTCCTCCTCTAATGTAAACAATTTGACTCCATTAGTCTATTATGACCCTGATTCAGGTAGTTCTAGTGAAGATGAGTGGTATTTCTACTTAGACTTTAGCTCCATAAAAGTGGAGACAGATAATTTTGACTCTGACGCAGATGATATAATTGATAAAGACAATCAGAGAGCTAGAATAAGAAAAGAAAGAAATAAGCCTTTTAAAGTTACATGTTGCTACGATAAAGCAGGAAATGCTTATCTTGAGGAAAAAGCTATTAAACCTAACCCCTGTGGATGTATTGTAAATGCCTCTGCTGTTGAATTCCCGTTAGTGATCTTTTCAATTATTATTATAAAGAATGGCAAGATCTTTACAAAATCAGAAGTCTGGAGTCCAGACAACATTTTCAGCTCCAACAATTTCTAGATAACAACCTAGATCTTTTTACCTGGGAGAAAGGGCCATTAGGCCAAACTAATTTCGTAAAGCATCGTATCAATACCGGCGATGTACTCCCAATTAAACAATATCTCTACTGGCATTCTCCAGCTGAAAAGAAGATTATTCAAGATGAGATCAGGCATATGATTTCAACCGGTATCATTTGCCCTTGTCAAAGCCCCTGGACTTCCCTGTTGTACTTGTCTCTAAAGAAGACAGAAACACCCAGTTCTGCATTGATTATCATAAATTAAATATCATCACTGTCAAAGATAATTATCCTCTCCCTCATATTAATGATCTTTTGGACACCCTCTCTGGATCATGTTGGTATAGTTCTTTGGACCTTGCTATCAGATACTGGCAGGTCAAAGTTGAAGAGTCTGATCAACTCAAAACCACTTTTACAACCCTCTTTGGCATTTTCCAATTCAATATTATGCCCTTTGGGCTGCCTAATGCACCTGCTACGTTCTAATGGCTAATAGATTATATTTTCTAAGACTTAATTGGCACCTGTGTAGTCATATATTTAGACAATATCAACATCTATTCCAAAAATTTTGATGAGTATTTGACTTATCTGAAAGAAGTCTTTCGATGACTAGGTTCTACTAGCCTGAAGTTAAAACCTACCAAATGTCATTTCGTCAAGCAGAAGTTGAAGTTTTTAGATCACGTAGTCAGTCAAGCCGGAATTGCTACTAACCCAAAAAAATTGAGGCCGTACAAAATTTTCTTGCCCCATAATATTTGGCAACTCAGAGGCTTTTTAGGATTAGCTTCTTACTATCAGAAGTTTGTTAAGGGCTTTACCAATCTTGTGGCACTGTTAAATCAGCTCCTAAAAAAGGCATCAACTATAAATAGACTACCAACCAGCAGAAAGCTTTTGAAGCCTTAAAAGCAAAACTAACAACTGCCCCATGCTCACTTACCCTGACTTCTTCCGGACCTTTATTCTCTTTACGGATACTTCTGACCAAGCCCTTGGTGCTATCCTCACTCAAAATGATGATGCTCATTGGGAAAGAGTAATTTTCTATGTAAGCCGTAGCCTTACCCTAGCTGAGAAAAATTATTCTGTTACCGAAAAAGAATGTCTAGCCGTCATCTGGGCTGTTGGATATTTTCGACCTTACCTGCACAGAAATCGATTTGTCCTATATACTGATCATTCTGCCCTTAAGTCCCTATTTGCGATCAAACTCCCACAGAATCGTCTTGCTTGATAGTTATGACCCTAATGGAGTACTCTTTTACCACTGTTCATAAGCCTGGAAGGCACCACACCAACGTCAATAGTTTATCCCATATCTAAAAAAAAAAAAAAAGACATTTTAATTCTAATTAGTTAAAAAAAAAAAACCAAAAAAAAAAAAAAGAGGAAAATGATATACTTATCCTTTTAAACCTGTTAATCCAGTCCAGGTTACGGTGTTCTGGCAACTTCTTTTTATTTATATCCCGAAGCTACCTTATAATTTTTCTCTAGTTACTCAGTAGTATATAGAATTATTAGCAAAATTCTCTTGTAAACATCCCAACATTATCTTGTAGTTGTATTCTATTCCCCTATAGTGAAAAAAAAAAAAACCATTAGTTAGAAATTATGAATCCAACCCTCTATAATATTTATCTTCAGTTTCTTCAGAAAACTGTCACTCCTTTACATTATACTAAGAAACAAATTAGAGACCTTTAGCACCAAACCCGGTACTACTTCGTAATCGACAATTGCTTTACAAGGCTAATCCACATGATCCCTTACGACCTTTGAGAGTCTTAAAAATAAATGAAGTTCAAGCCGTCCTTTTTAGCATGCATGACGATCCACTAGCCAGACATTTTAGATTCTAAGCCACTTATCAAAAAATTGCTGCCCACTATTACTGGCCTCAAATGGGCACTGATATAAAAAAATATACTTAGAACTGTGAATAGTGCCAGAAAAAGAAATGTCTGCAAACCCGGAAGCCTTTATATCCCATTAAAGTTGGCCAAACCTTCAACTGGGTGGAAATCAATATCATAGGACCACTTTCTATAACTTCCAAGAATCGCCAATACATCGTAGTAGCCACTGAATACCTTACAAAGTGGCCCGAAGCCCGTTCTATCAAAAAAGCCGATGCCAAAACCGTTGCTGACTTTCTTTTTAAGGATATTATTTCCAGGTATGGTTGTTCTAAGGAGTTATTATCTGATCGAGGGTCTCATTTTTGTAACCAGATAGTTGATACGCTTTGTAAAAAAATAGATATCGACTATCGTAAGTCCACGGCATACTATCCGCTAACCAATGGCTTGGTTGAACAGTTCAACCGTACTCTTTGTGGGTATTAAATAAATATGTTAACCAATTTGGACAATCATGGGATGAATATATAGCACTGGCCCTTTTTGCCTACTGTACTACCCGTATTTGACTACTGGACATAAGCCCTTTTTCTTAATGTATGGGCGTAACGCTGTTCTTCC